CCTGCTCGGGAGTGTGGTCCCTGCCGGGAGCCGCCGCGCCTGGCGCACAGAGGGAAGCGTTGATGCATCGCTGTGGAAATTCATTGTGTGACTTTCTGGGTATTTACTGAGTTTCAGACCGAGATGCATCTCTTGAAAGCTTTATGGGCACTAGCAGGAGCAGCGATCTGCTGTTTTCTTATATTTGTCATCCACTCACAGTTTCTTAAAGAAGGTAATTATATCTGCATGTCTACATACCCTGTTCTTTAATACGAAGGTCTTTACGAGGTGCCTTAATTATTTTTACTGTTTCCAGTATGTTCTATTTACAGCAGTGCTTCACGCTATTTTTCCTTTCCTTTAAAGCCTTCTCATTTTTGTTCCTTTAGATAATAGGCAGCTTTAGACTTACATTCTTGGTAAATGTGTATATATATATAAATATATATATATAAAATCTGTATGATGTTTGTATTCAGTGTTTTAGCCAATGTCTCATCTCTTTATGGGGCATGTACAGTGTACAGAAAATTCTTGTTGCTATCAGATGACCACCGAACAGTAGTCATCATGGGAGTATTAATAAACCAAAAAACCCTTAACAAGTAAACGTCTTATTTTTGTACCAAATCAATAGGCATCCTTTCCCTCTTCCTTATTCAGTACATTTTCAATAGATGGCACTAAAGTTCTATGGAAAGGGCAGGGCAGAGCAAATCCTGGGCATTCAGCATCTTCCTTCCCCTCCTCGCTGCCCCAAAACTGGAAAGGCCTTTGCATGGTTTCAAGGCTCCTGTTTTTTCCACTTTGTGGACAGAAAATTGTGATTACAATTTAATGGAGAAAAGAATTTGGATTGTGGGGCAGGCTTGCTTCTTTTGTTTCTCCTGCATGAGTTGGGTGGAAAAAAATATGTTCAATTAAGAGGATAGAGGAATTTTCTTGGGGAGTAACCCTCATATTGCCTTTTTTGTTTGTTGTTTTTTGTTTGTTTGTTTTCTTTCATCAGGAATTTACTGGGTTTTTTTTCCCCCTCTGGTAGAATAATGATTCCCCTGCTTATTTGTGAAGCAAACTGTAGTCTGAGATTCCACTGTGAATCCTGAGGAATGTATATATATTTGGTGGTGTGTGGGAAAGCCCGGTGTTGTTCTTTAAGCAGTGTTAACAGACACAACACAATGATACGGGTGTTTTGGGGAACCCATGTATTCTTTTTTAGCATTGTCATATAGTTGAGATTATAGCCAGAAGAAGGAGCCCAGCTCAGCCTGGAGCACTGGCTGTGCAAAGCATGGAAAAAAACTTTTATGTGACTGGGACAAACTTTCACTCAAGACTGGGCAGAGCGACAACCTCGCAACCGCTGAAGTATCGGAACTGTTTTTAATCTAGTGTCAGGCCAAAAATAGCATGAGACTGTACATTTGCACAGATCTTTTATGAAATTAATTAACAGTGATTTGCCTGATTTGGTTAATTTGGAAGTGTCATCCAGATGTCTCCAGTGCCAGAGATTTCTCCTTTAAGAAACCTACCCATGCTTTAACTGCATTGTGTGCAATGCCTCCCACATAGTCCCTTATTTTACATTCTTTTAAAATGCTTGTACTAGTGTATTTATATATCTCTGTGTAACGAGATGAGTCCTTTCAAGGAGATTTTGCGGAATGAAATATTGCCAGTCATTTCAGGGTATTTTTGGTCAATATTTGCCATTATGCTTCTTTTTTCTTTTTTTTTTCTTTTTTTTTTTTTTTTCTTCAGTCTTTCCCTGCTTGATTTTTGGGACCTGTAAATAATCCATAAAGGAAGAAGCATTTTATTTCACTTAAAATATTTCCTCTTGCATTGTAGGAGCAGAAAGCAAGCAAATTAATATATAAAAGCAGAAACCATGGCCATACACCAAGGACTTTAACCCGTTTTACATTGCTTCTCCTCCTGGCAATTATAGCCACTCTTAACGTGGACTGCAGAGAGAAACCTGAAGCTCCAGGGCTTGTAGGATAACTTAATTGCATCAGTTTGTTTATACTTGTGGACAAAATATTTCTGCTTTGTTTGACAATAAGAACTATATACGTACTGTAAATAGAGATTGTGTGTATTGGGCCAGTTGTCAGCCCTTTCTTGCTGGGTGCTAATCTCCACAACAGCATTTTGACCCCTTTTGTAGAACTATTTCAGCAGTGTATGTATTCCTCCCTGTAGTTTCAATAATGGCACTGAACAGTTTAGTGGAATTGATTGAAAGTCTACATGGTATAACTGAGTTTTTTCTTTATGAAGAACTTCTGAAATACCCAACTAAAAATGATTGGTTTAAGCATAATATATTCAAATGCAGGCGTCTAAGAGAAGGAGAAATAGGTAACAGAAGATTTAAGGTATATATTGTGAACAGTTTGCAAAAGCAAGTTTTACATTAAATTTCTTGTTCATTTTAAAAACTGTGTTTTGTTTTGTTTTGTTTTGTTTTTTTAAATTATTTTCAGTAAGAAACAAGGGGAAGAAGTATGAGGAAAGGACTAGCAAATCAGTTAACTATATGCCTACCACATTCGTTTACTAAGGAAATGTGTGTAAACAAGAATAATACATATGACATGGCTGTTGCTTTACCTTCAGAAGATTTTAAATTCTTTTCTGATATCAGAGTTAGCCCTTTACATTAAAATTTCATCCAAAGTTAGGAATGGTGTGTCTCATTGCACATAATGTTGTTAGACTGTTGATTTCCTGGCAAAAAGATTAATTTCCCATTGGAGCCTAATGAACTACGTGAGCTTATTGTACCTCAGCTGTGTGGTTGAATTCCTAAGTTAAATGCTTGGACATTTTAATTTGATTATTTCTTGTGCAGAAGGATACTTTCTTGTAGTCCCAAAGAACAAACAGTCAGCCACCAGTTTGCCTAGCTTGATCAGATTAGCTGATAACACATACCTTCTGAGACAATTTGACAGTACAAACTCATACACCAAGCAGCTCTTTTGTATGCAAGGCAATTGATTTAAGAAGAATGACATGTACAATTAGTTAAAGGTCTGGCTTAATTTGTTAGTGTGCACTATTTCCATTTTTGCATGTTTGGTAGTATTTACTGCTTATTATTTTTCCAGAACCAGGCCTTAATAGAAGACTGATATAATCTTCACTTCCTAAAACATCTTGAAATGGTATAATTACTACCTGTCTTTTTCTGTGTTTGTTTTCCTTTTACTTACTTGGAATTAGAGATCTTATCTGTTATGTTAAACTCTTATCACCTATTAACACAAGATATTTGTATAATTTCAGTTGTACTGCATGGCTATAGTGTGTGGAACTTTCATTACATCCAGCTGAAACTTATTACCGGAACCAAAACCTCCTTCAGTCACATTTGTAAATATGAAATTGTGTGTTCTGACAGTCAACTGAGAGTTTTCACACTGCTAATTTTTCATTTTAGTTCCTATTTTGAACTTAGATTTTCTTAAATTTCTGTCTTAATTCTTAAATATTTTTATGTGCATTTTTGAATTAAGGCAGTTTAGTAGTAGCATTACATTACTGGCATTTAAATGGTGTTTGGAAACAATGAATGCTTGTTCTGAGATGAGTGGGAAAGAGCTGTTTAAATGTCTATTTTCATGAATATGTTTGTTTCAGGAAGCGAAGAATGGGTGACACAGGGTGCCATTTTTCCACACTTAGGCTTTTGTGTGGAAATACAGGTCGTCCTGTGGCTAATCCGTTCCCCTATGTCCAATCTGTCCTTCAGTGTTTCTAAAAGATGAATAGAGCTGTGAACCCAGAAAAGGGTATTGTGATATATAATTGCAGTCCCATGCCTGTCTGATCTTCCTGCAAAGCAATTTAACATACTCTAGTCAGCTGCAGTCAGCATGAAGGGGTGTTAAAAACTGAAGTATCTAAAACTTTTTACATACACGTTGAGAATTACAAGGAGTTACATTCCCTACTCAAGCCTGATTTTTTAAAAAAATATAATCTGTTATTGTTTAACACATTTATTCAGAGAGAACTGAAAAACGTTGAGTTGATGTTACACACATTAATTGTGGGAACTCCTTTGCCCCCAGACAAGTACCTTTTCACCTAGTAGAAAATTTTAACCATTCAGACCTAGTAGCGATGGGGAAAGGTAAAGGATACAGTTTCTAAATGCATCTTGGAATCCCATGGGAAGTAGTGCAGTTAGGGAGTAGCTTCAGAAGGGTAGGTATGTGTCGCAGCTAGGGTGCATTACAGCCCTGGTTATGCTTTAAAGCTTGGTTTATTCTGTGATTGCTCATTAAGAGGCTGGAATCTTGTCTTATCTATCAAAGGCGATTTAATATTTTGAATGGTTTATGAGCTTAGGGTGGTGTGAGCCTTGTTTGGAGAGGGACTACACAGAAACATGGATTCAGTCTCAAGAATCTTACTGATAGAGGACTGGAGTGTTCAGATCTCAAACCCACATTCTTAATCTGTTGCGTAGATGCTCTGTAGTAAGCTGTGTAAAATATGGTGATTTTCTGTTGATACGCTGCGGCAGTTAAGTAGAGACAAGAGAATTCCGATACTTCTGTTACGACCACATGATTATGGCTATAAACCAGAATTTTAGTATCATTTGTGCAGATTTAGTATATACTTATATGTATGAATAAGGTGCCTGTTTAGCACATTTTTCATAATTACCATTTTTTTCTGCCTTAGGCAAAAGTTAGCAATTATTGGTTACACTCTGGTTGGCACTTCTCTGTCAAACACATTTAGAGGAATTAGTATCACAATAGCAAAAAATACTGCAGCACTTTCTTTAAAAGGATACATTTATTACATGTAATAACTTAGTTGAGTTTTATACTTAATGTCATTATTCTGACACATTACAGATTTTCTTATTTTAGCCTGCTCTAAAAGTATGGGAAAAGCTTCATGTGTTTCAGTGTGTTTTAGTGCATACATTTTGACACTAAAAGTAATAAGGAACATTGTTTAGCTGTGTAACCCCAAACAACTCTGCTGCTCCTCTGCTACTCCTCATGCTGAAAATGCCTACTGACAGTATACCCAAGATATTTTTTCTCAGAGCTTTCTGTTCACATAACCTGATAGCTTTATAAAGTTGGTAAAACTAATGTTTACTGCTGTCTAAAACATTTTGAGGAAACGAGTGGTTATCTTCTAAACTTTTTGAGACTTTAGCCCTCAAAATTGTCTTGGAAATAATTT